TAATACTTATAAACCAACAAATAATTTATTAGTTTGTTAATTTGAGCAATATATACTAATATTACAAAAACTGTATACAAAACAAATATTTTTTATACAATGCGTTAATAATTAATTTATGCACTATAAAAAACACGTTACACACTTGTTTAATGACACTTTTGTAAGTTTATTGCATTATAAAGTAATTATTTGCACATTTAAATAACTTTACGTTAATTTTTTTAAAAGTGACGTCACTTCCGTGCGGCGCAGCAGCCAGTTCAGTGTGGGTAGGGTGGCTAGAATGGGGAGGTGTGATGAGCGGGGCGCCTTTCGCTTGGCGGAGAGGGTCCTTCGGCGCGCCGATGCCGCTAGGGGCGCTGATGGCAGCGGCGCGGGTAGTGAGCGGCGCACTTCGCTGGGTTTGCTTCAGTCGCGCCATAATTTTTTTCGTTAGCAGTCGCACTGTCTTACAAGTATGTCGTCGATCGGTGATTGCGTTGAGTCTCTCTGAAATGTCCGAAGATGTCAACGACAAAAAAGAAGACGCAACGTTGGTGCTTTGTGCCTGGCTGCAACACTGGATATTATAATTCTTCAGGAGAGAAAGTTTCCCTTTTCCGAGCTCCCACGTGTAGTGTGCTGTTCGACAAATGGATTCGTGCTATTCCAAGAGCGGACAAACAGCTTGACGAGAACTCCGCAGTGTGCGAGAAGCACTTCGACCCAAGGTATGTACAAAAAATAGAAGGCACGGTGTTCGCACACCCGAGCAAGAGACCAATTTTGCTTACTTGCGTTCCACGTGTCACATGCTGCATTGCAACATAACCAATTGGCTGTCCTTTTCTCTTTTCTTTTTCACAGATTTGTCGTGCGTACGTTCAAACATAGGATTAATGGTGAAGATGTATACATGCCGCGCGCTGTGCCGACCTTAACAAATGACGCCGTGCCGACGATTTTTCCTAATTTGCCTAAATACTTGACGAAAGCTCTGCCCAAGGAGAGAAAGAGACGGAAAAGCGTGGCTGAAAGTGCTGTTTCGAGTAAAAGAATTAGTGTGAACCACGACAATGTCGAAGAAGGCTCAGCGATTGACCATGACGTGATCGTTTCAGAACAGAACGTCATGTTGACCGAACAGCTGCATTCCTTAAGTGCTATGCTTCACCGTCCTAGCGAGTTGTGGTCGATGCAGAAGTTCGAGCAAACGAATGCATTATGCTACCAGACCGCTAAATTGGACAGAGATTTAACACCTCCTGTTATTCACAACAAGATAGTGTTGTTTGAAGCTGAGGAAGGAGCAGCTGCTCAGTGCAGCATCTTTCTGAACGGGTTCCTATTCAAAAAAAGTGGCTGTCAGACAGTGAGCCAAGCACAGGATCTTCTCAAGTATGCAGACACATTGACACCCTGCGTAGGAATTGGGACAATGGAAGAGTTCCAACCACTGAATTTGGAAAGCAAGGCGAAGCTATCTCAAAATCGTGTCTTCTCCCTTTCTTGCGATGGTTCCTCATCGATTTCGCTACAAGGTATTATGAGATATCGCAGTTGCGCAAACCCTGCCTAAAATATTTTATTTGAGCCTGTAGATACCTGTCCCTGCTTTGGTTAGACTTATCCACCGATTATGGTACACTTTACAGATGGCTCATCTGGACGTTGTACTGCCTGCAGAAAATGCAGAAACCTTCTGAAGGCTCGTCTGCTCCGTCTAAAAAAAAAAAGACTAAGCGGCCACTTGCAAGAACAGCTGCACAACGACTGAAATGGGCTGTTCGTACGTTGAAGAAAAAGAAAATGAAGCTGCTTACCTTGCAGGATGCCCTGAAGAAGATGCGAGAAAAGACTTCACAAATCATTGCATCTGTGTTAGAGGAAAAGGTACACTGTCCCATTAAGTTGTTATAGATTCATTACTAATAGCTTCTTAATTATTTCAGCTGAAACTTCTTCCAAAAAAGCAACGGGCTGCGGTGCAGGCTTGTTTTGACGCTGCCAAACGAAGGTCCTTGCGCGGATATAACTACAATAAAGAATGGCTCCTTGAGTGCATCATCCTCAGAATGAAAAGTGCACGACTGTATGAGCATCTTAGAGCACACAGAATTCTTGTCCTGCCAAGCCGTGCTTGCCTTCAAAAATACATCAAGGTATGTGATTGCATATGGTGTGCAGTATAGAGATGGTTCCTAATGTTTTTATCTACAGGGATTCGCTGCTGCTTATGGGTTTAATACCAAACTCCTGAGCTGTCTGAAGAAAAAAGTTAAAGACATGGATGAAATGGAGAGGCATGGGGGCATAGTAGTGGATGAAATGAAACTCTCTGCTCATCTGGACTTGCAGTCGTCCAGCAATATTGAAGGCTTTGTCGACCTCGGCAAGTTTACCGATGCCAATGAAAGACACCGCAAAGCTGACCATGGGCTTGTCATAATGTTCCAACCATTTGTGGGGAAATGGACACAAATCATTGGTAATATATTTTTGCACTGTTAAGGCACATATGCCGAAGCGTTTTGTAATGCTCTATTTCTCTTCAGGTGTGTTTTCATCCAGCGGGAACGTAAAAGCCAGGCTGTTGACAAAACTTTTGGTAGAAGCTACAATTTTGTGTGAGCAAGCCGGCCTCTACGTGGATTACATTTGCTGTGATGGTGCGCCCTGGAACAGATCTATGTGGAACATCCTGGGGATACGCGCCACCCTCAATGACATTCAGTGCAGAGTTGTTCATCCGTGCAACAAACACCGATTTTTGTACTTTATATCGGACTTCCCTCACCTCATGAAGTGCGTGAGAAACACAATGATGAAGCAGGGCTTCAACACCCACAACGGAAGGGCAAGTTGGCTCTAATATTTCTGTGGAATTTTTATGCATAATGCGTACTTCTCAATGCTAATTTGAATCCTTAACAGTTCCTGATGCAATGTGGAAATTTTACAGGCCCACTGGGATCATGTGTCAACCATGTGGAAACTTGACAGCAGTGCCATCACCTTGAAAGTGGCACCAAAGCTGACTCGATCACATATCTTTCCAAATGGATTCGAGAAAATGCGTGTGGACTTAACATTTCATGTTTTCAGTGCCCAAGTGACTCGGTGCTTAGATTTTTACAAAGATCAGATCGAGGAGCAATACACAAATGTTGAGCCAACAAGACTCGTTATTGGTCTCATGGCGGAACTAATCGAGGTGATGACATCCAGGTTTCCAGCAGAAGCTTTACGGTAAGAGTGAAATATTTACCCTGTCGATAATTAGTCCAGACAAAGTTTCTACGCTTCATACATAAACATTATTTCAGGCTTCACAGCCGAAAGGAAGCTGTGCTTGACCAGGCACTAAAGTTCCTCGATTTGTGGGAAGCTCACGCAAGAGGACTTGGCTTTCTAAGCAAAAGTACCGCAGTGGGTTTGCGTGTGACGTTGAAAAGTACGAAGCACCTCCTGGAGTACCTGTGTGAGGAAGTACATTTCAAGTATCTCATGACGGCTCGCCTAAGCCAAGACTGCCTTGAGCGCTGTTTCGGAATCGTGCGGCAGGCAGGTGGTGGCAATGATCACCCAACCCCTGCACAGTTTGTTGTTATCACGAGGTATTTTATTATCAAATTTTACGCCTTATGTTGCATGTCGTATAAACTTGTTACGCATCTGATTATGTTTGACTGCTGTTGTGAGTAAAATATGCATTGTTTATTTATAGATGCCTCAGCTTCTATAGCCTGGCAAAGAGTCCGAAGGGTGGCAATGTAGCTGACGGAGTGGTGGAATCTCTTCTCTCTCTGGAAGAAATGCTGCACGAGGTGGAAGATCACAACGAAGACAACGAAAGACTTTCATCTGACGTGCTAGAAGTGTCTGTAGATCATGCGTCATACACTGTTGAGCGAAGTGACGCCCGCCTTGTGTATTATGTCGCAGGTTATGTCGCAAGAAAGCGTGTACTTCGTAGTAATTGTGATGATTGCAAGAACGCCTGCCTTGCTTCTAAAGAAAATGTGCCAGGAAATCTCCCAGCCCAGGCAAGCAAGCTGTGGGATCTCGGAGGACTTTTGTATCCGTCGAATTCCTTCTATAACCTGATATTATCCCTTGAGAACAAAATCACTCGCTTCTTGAGCACATCACGTCTTCATGCCAAATCGGCCGTTGAGATGATGAAGGGGATAGGCGAGACGCAACAAATTGGTTGCGCAAAGCATGCTGCTTTTTTGACGAAAAGTGTGGTGCGATTTTATTGCCTCACTCGTGTCCACTTTTTTTTGAAAGGGATGAACCAAAAGGAAGACGAAAAGAAAGGGCGGAGAGTAAAGCCATGCGTACTCTAGTGGCAGTGCATGAATGGCATGCGTGGAAATAAAGTTGTGTTTTTGTGAAAAAGTGTCTGCTAAATTTATGCTGCTGGGAACAATTCTCAAGTCACACGCTTAGCGGTATAGGTAAATTTTGGCGCTCTTAATGCGTGACTCATCTGAGTTAATGTATACATTAACTCAGATGAGTTTTAGCTGCCTATAGGCAGCTAAAACTGCTTCGTTTTTCTGCGGCGAGCAGCGCGCTGCGGCGAGCAGCGCGCGCTCATTCGTACATCGCCTGCGAAAGGCTACCCGCGCCGGTGCGTGCAGCGCCCCAAGCGGCATCGGCGCGCCTTGGGGACCGGTTTCTGCGGCCGCTTTTCACACCTCATATTCTAGCCACCCTAGTGTGGGGATGGCTGCTGCGCCGCGCGGCGCACGAGACGCTGCCAAGCGTCTTTCATTTGCGGTCCATAAGGGCGCGTCAGTCGAAATTTGGGTGTTTTGTGGGTTCTTTGTGTGAGTCTGTGTCTCTGAGTTCACTGATGTCTTGTTTTCGCACCGCTTGTTGTCGCATCGTTATAACTTTTCACTAGCAGGTCTATTAGTGTTTTCGTATCACTAGCGTCAGATCTTTATTCGGGCTGCATTCAACACCACTTCTCCCTCTGCCCCCCCCCCCCCCCCCCTCCTCAGTTTCGCTTACATCCATTTGAGATGACATCGACTTTCACACACTGCTGTGCTTTCACCGGCGAGATAAGTAATATTTCTTATGCGGGCGAATTTTCCCGCCCTTGCCAAGCCAGCTCGACGCAGCTATGTTGGCTGTTCGAAGATGCTGCTATTTGGAATAAAGTCATCAACCGATTCGGTTATGAGTTGTGGGAAAAGCAGACCGGTATGCTCTGCCTCCGAACTATACCACATACCAGAGAACCTTCGTATGACCAACTCGCCGCAGTTGGTAACGCTTCGCCCACTTTATCTGCTCTCCTTGAATGGCACTCCTGTATCGATGAGGTAAACTTCACTTACAACACCCCATCACGGATCTATAACCTCGCGATAAAACCTGAAAAGCTCATACGTCTTGGCCGTTCTGTTCGCCACGTGAAAGTTTCGTTGCGTTCCAGTGAGTCGTGCAGTCCTTTCCGAGTTGTCGACCGTTTGTTCTTTGGCGACTCTGGAAACTCTTGTTTTCGAAGGCTTCGACATCTCTAGTGATGCGGGCTCTAAGATAGCGTCGACGTTGTCTCGCAATGCACACACATTGAGGAAAGTGGTAATTAAGTGTGCACGAATGTCGCCAGAAAGTAGCGATCTGCTGTGGCGCAGCCTGCAAGGATGTGTTCGTCTAAAGTCAGCTTCGCTGTCATATACATGCTTTCCCGGAAACGTGGATGAATTTGTCTGTTTTGTGCAGTCGTCGCAAACATTACAACAAGTGATGGTTCCAATCCTGACACGCGCAAGAGATGTGACTCAAGTAGTTAGGGCGCTGTGGATGAGCACATCTCTGCAAGAAGTATACATCTGTGATGCATCGATTTTGACAATGGCACCAGTATTCACAGCACTTCGATTCCACTCTAGAATTAAATTCTTGCATTTAGTCAGGTATACCATCTTTAGAATTCAGGGAACTTCTGTGGCATCGATGCTCCGCTCGAACAAAGTACTTCAGACACTAATTATAGAACGTGGTTCCCTATCTATATGTGGTGCTGAGGAGCTTGCAAGAGGTATAAGGGACAACTCAACACTACAGTGCTTAGAGTTTCTGTCATCGAGCTTAAGTGCAGCTGCCATTTGCTGTCTCTGCAAAGCACTTGATCATAACAAGACCCTGAAGAGGCTGAAGTTCGACAAATGTTATGCATCGAACAGCGAAAGGTAATATGCTGCATGTGGTGTCTCGATCATGAACATAAGTATGCTGACTACGTACTGGTGACTACACTTTCTGTCGACTCATAAATAAGAGTGCCTGTGTTGAATTGCAAAATGACAAGGACATAATTGAAAGATGGTGCTCGGACTAGAGAATGAGTGAAAATACCAAAAGCACTAAGCTACCACCTGCAGTAAAATTACAAAATGCACGTACGTGGTTTATGGTTTTTATCGTTTTGGCTTCATTACATGTAAAACTGACTATTATTAAATGAGCTTAGGCACCTCTCATCCTGGCTAGCATAATAATTTTTAACCATTGTTAATGTACCTGGCAAATACAGTGCATTTCTTTCATTTGTGCCTATTTTACACACCTACAGGGCAGAAATAAAATGAGAAATTATAGTGAACTGGTGAATTCAACTGCCAAATCACAGAATAAGTAGCATAATAAGTTATAGTGAACAGGTCAGTTGAAGTTGCCAAATGACAGTGTAGTGTACCTAAAAAAATTATATAAAAGTAAACAAAACTGTTTACTTCTATTTATGCAAAGGCTGTGCATTCAGGCCTGCCATTAGCGTAGACACTCCGTTTTTGAGCTGTATGTGAGTAGGCATAAAATATGACAAAATCAGTTTAGGCTCATAAAGTATTGTCTGAAAACTCTCTTGTTGTTGTACCGCTATTGGTTATTCAAAAGAAAGCTTGTCTTGATGTTTAAGTTTTTACACTGCAATACCACCCCCGGTAAGTTGTTGCACCTGTAGTGACCGAGATGCACGTCAAAAAAAAATATATTGACTCTAGAGGTGGCAGAAATCCGAGTGTTACATGTTTAGACAATGACAAAGAAGCATTGACGAATGTGAGCAAAGTAAGCAAGAAATTGAAGATGGTAGAGCTTATAACAATTTTTTCTATATTCAGACTGAAACCCAGCAGTTGGAATGCTTTGCTTCTTATTCTTCTCTTTCTGACTTCTTTTTTTTTTTAGGGCAAGCTTGGCAGCTGTGCTAGAGAGCAGCAGTTCCTACGATCGTGTGCTAATCCCACTTGTGGATGCCGACATGAAGAGCATTTTGTCACATCATACCAAGGCCCAGCTCTTTCTCACGGAACTCAGCCTAGACAACATCTGTGACATTTCTTCAGTTCTTCTCAAAGAACTCTGTGAGATCCTAGCCATAAGCTTTACGGTGAAGACTCTAAAGGTGTGTTACGGAGGCCATAAGCAAGATAAGATAGACCTGTTTTCAGCAATGCTGAAAGACAACAGATCTATCACATCTTTGGAGATTTCCCTGCACTCACATCTCGGCTGCTTTCATCTAGCAGAAAAGGTTACTGCAGCACTTATACACAACACGACTCTGCAGGAACTCGATGTTTGCTTTGCATGTAAATGTTTCTCTCCTTTGACAGCCAAATTTTTCTGCGACATGCTTTCTAAAAATCAAGCTTTGTGTAAGGTCTTTATAAAGATATTTCACCAGCTGTCCAGTGAAAGCCTGGAACTGCTTTCAACTGGAGTACAGCACAGTAAGGTGCTTTTGGAATTCGGCACAGGAGAGGTAAAGATTCCTCTTAGTTGCATTACCTACCCTATGTTCAGAACCTTGCAGCAGAACAACGGCCGACTGAATAAAGCAATCATGTTTGTTCAGCATAGCAGAAACAGGCAGTGTGCTATAGCTTTTGAGTACCTTTGCAAAAGTCTCACTTTGTCTATTATGTGGCAAAGGCGACAGGACAAAGCATGTCAGAGGCCACTCAGAACATTAGGTCCGCTCAGCACTATCTTTTTGACAACTACTTTGTCATAGCAGGAATCGTGAGACATTCCGTTCAGTGTTATCCTGGCCAAGGAACCCAGATTGATGCTTTGAATGCAGATATTTGGCGTGTCATTGCTCAGTATGTCAAACTGTCAGATATTTATGTGTGAGGACATGTGGCATAGCATTGTACTATATACTTCTTGTGGCTGTTTTTTCATAATTTGTCTGCTTTTTGTATGCAGCAACTTTGTTTCTGCGAGTCATGTCATCTGCATGTGCGCTTGAGTCACTCGTGAACTATTATTGTATATGCTACATTTCCTTGTCAAATGGTCAACAAGGTATCAGGGGCAGCAGCTTGTTTTAAACGGGTGGATAAGTGGTTGTGTGAACAGCCACTGGTGGTATTGCAAACCGCTCCCAAGGGTGTTCCTTTGTTCAACAAGTCATTATTGCTGTATTGTAAAGTAGCATGTCAGCAGTTGTTAACCAGTCTCAAGAATATCATTTAGATTTGACTGTATGTGGTATCGAAATCAGCCTACTGATAATAAAGTCCATTTCACACTTGGTGGTAAGGTTACCTTTAATGGAAATGTGTGATAATCATTTGGCATGCACTGGACTGATACCATGTCGACATGTACTTAATGAATATTAGTAAAGCAAATGAAACACACAATGGCAGACATGACAGTGCCCTAATGTCTTCTTTAGCATTGTTTTATCATGTTATAATTCTTGGAATGCTATACCTGAGCAACTACCACAGTCTTATACTGTGCCACAACATGTGAAGTAGTCTACTTCAATACGAAACTGCAAAAGGCTAGGTGTTTTGCTGATACATTAGTGAGTGTTGGCTAGTTTGCTGTACAGGCAGGGTCAATAATTCACAGGCCATTATCCCATGTATTTCTACCGAAGTGTGGCCTGTGAACTTTCGACCAGCCCGGTACAGTTTTGTCCTGTGTTGAAAAGAACGCTTGAGCTCCCTGCTGTGTCTTGACTCATGGAAAGTGAACCTGCTGTGATAGCTTAACAGACAAGGTGACGTGCTGCCAAACTCAGGGGTGCAGGTTTGATACCCAGCTGTAGCTGCCGTGTCTCAGGAGAGAAAAAATGCAATAGCACCTGTGGACATATAAGTGCATGTTAAATGAATGCCATGCAATCAGTGTTAACGCAAAGCCCCAACCACAGCGCAGTTCTGGCACGGCAAAATTTAACACTATGGGCAGTGGGCGATTTCCTAATCCCAGACTTCAAAGCAGAAGACGTGCTACGTCCTTTCACCACACTTGCGCAGTGGCATGTTGCATCAGGTAGTGCCAACACCTAGAGCATTAGCGATTCTGTACATGTAAAACGTCTTCTCAAATGTCTGTGTGTGCTTTATCATATGGCTGCTGCAGTTGACTTGGGTTGCATGGCAGAGCGTTAGTTCATTTGGAGCACAGCTGATGAAATCGGTACCATTGACTCGACAGTTATTCTGAAATTGTTAGAAGTGACAAGAAGGAAATTATGACAATAAAAAGTCCTCAAATCGAGCATCACTCGTAACTTTTTTATACAAACAACCAGCAGTCTTTTATGATGTGTGCCTCTTTGTTGTGTTGAAGTACTGCTGTGGTAGACTTGTATAGCATTGTTCATTGCTTTACTCTCAATGCCTTTCTGCATTTGAGGGGAAGCAAGAAAAAACTGAGAAGTTACGAAAGGTGATCTCGGCAAGTGTCTCAACCATGAAGAATCTGTGAGGAAGACGATGAAGGTGAATTCTATCCCTGGCTGGTTCTTAGAATTACTGAAGAATTTAGCACTGCCTTGTTCAGCACCTTGAGATGCCAGATTTTCGTCTGGCTCATTCTTGGAATGGTGACACTCGTGGTACTAAATAGTCCTTAGACTTCACACAGTGTTGCCAGTTTAGCATGCTAGCCGAAGTTTGTGTGTGTATGTGTTACTCAATTAATAGTGATGCTCTTGCCATTGAGCTTTTGCTTCACTTCTAGTGTTGGCATGTGGTGCCACTTCATGCAGCCCAGCCACTTCTGTCAATATTTTTCCATAGCACCTCCTGACAGCTCAGAACGTTAACTCAACAAAGTATGGAATAGACAGACGGAAGGCGCATAGTAGTTTTCGTGCAAGCCCTCGTGAAAGATGCAGTATACATTTTCAAGCTGTTGTCCTTAAAGTTAGTGGTTTCATTCTTTCTGTGCTATACTATGGAGGTAAGAGGTTAAGGCTAATATGTGTTGTTGATAGAGAAGAAAAATCTCTCGAAGCTACAAGGCATGTGATAGAAAGTTGCACACATAATGTAAAATTTTCAACTCGCAGGCACAAAAATCAGTTTTTAATTTTATTTCCATGTGCATCACTACTACAAAACAAATACATGTGGTCAACCACACTACGGGTGTAATAAAAAAAAGCATAGAAGAACATCGGCAAGCTCAGCTACTATGGGTCAGCTGGTGACAAGCTGAAAGATTTTAGAAGTTAACAATGAAAAGCACGATAGTACAGAACTAAAAGTGAGCACAACTGGCTAACTAGATTGCGAGTTCTTCAAATAAATAAAAGAAACCCATCCAGCATCAATGGCACCTTCAGTCACTTTAAAACCCGAGTGTCTTTAAGCAACCGTTTAACAGTGTAACATGCTCTAACGTCTACTGTTCACGAGGGGTAGACAACAATTATACACACACGTGATGCAACCTTTCAAAGCTAGCCTGAAGAGGTGGGTAATCGTTCATCAGCACTTCAGTTTCTTCCTCAGCCTGCTCCATTTACCTGAACTGCTGCGTACTAGGAACAGACTCTGAGAGTCGTATGCTAGCATGTGTGTACCCAATTGTTGTGCAGGCTTTTCTGCATCCAAACAAGTGAAGAGCTCATGTGAGAGGGAGCGCAGATATTAGCAGCCATTTGTATGATTATCAAAATGTTACAGTATAAGAGTGGTGAACTGTGATATGATGATCATTATCAGCCAAGTGCCTTGCTATCATTCACAGAAATTTGTTATCTTTTGCTGTAAGCACCAGCTAAATAAATGCTTTTTAGTGCCGAGAGGACCGATGCTTCGTAAACTGCAAACTCCGGGGAATGCGCAAGGCCTGGGCTTTGAATATATCCCAAAAGTGGACCATTACACAAGCATGTATATGTGATCCCTGGGTACAAAGTGTGTGCAAATACCGCACACCATACAGATTCTCTCCAATGTGCAAAGCAGTTTGGATGCTGCAGTAGTAAGAGTAAAGAAAGATATGTCTCCTTCACTGCTCTGCACAATCCGTTCCGAGGCAGATTTGGCCATGAAGCAGCATTCGTACATCATGATGCATTAAAACGGTGCACCAACACTCGAGAGATGTGTCTTGTACATAAAACTGTGTTTTGCTGTTTATACAAACAAGCCAAGAGGTCTTACAGGCTGAACTAATTGGTCTCAGAAAAATATGCCATGAAAAAAAAAAAGAAAACAAAATGCCTGCCGTATGAGCCACCTGAAGTGTTTTACCACAAGTCAAACTCATTTGAAAAAAAAAAAGAATGACTTCAAGGCACATTTGCTGCTTTCTGGCACCGTGATCAGCCAGACAGCAACAGATGCAGCGCCTGGACTGCCGCACGTTTTTAAGTGCTTTACATTTGCAAAGATAGCGCAGTAAGTTTTACTGCTCCAACTCTGATTGAAATTCCGTCATAACACCAGAGGCAAAATATGAAAGAATGCCAGTACTTTGCAGTGATTGGCAATCCAAGACAGTTTTGAACACAAAACCACTCAAGTGAACTGCCCACTCGTATCATGAATGTAGGTTTGTTTCTTCCATAGTTAACATAGGGATACATAAATCACACTACACGCTTCAAGATGAAAAGAACAAGGTACAATCCTGTACAAATGCATTTCATCTGGTGTTTCACTGCACCGAAAAGTACTCAAAGCTGTGTCTCTTCAATATAGTCAGCTGGGCTGGCACAGATGAATGTCCTTATGTCCTTTTGATGCACTGGTTTTTTTCCTTCCCTTTCTCAGTAATGCAAGTTCAAATATGTTTTGCCTTGTGAAAGGGAACAGCTGTGATACCAGGATTTCAAAGCACAGCCATCAACACAGGTTAATAAGTAAGAACACACAAGTATTACAAATTATACACAAGAGCAACGCCAAGCGCCTGGACCCAAAAATGCTGGCAAAATTGTGGTTTAAAGATGACGCAAGCAAGAACGCTGTTGTGGCATATGCAAGTGAATATGGAGCACTGTTTTTGAGTTTGCATGCTGTGAAGCTATCTACAGAACTATAGATGTGACATTCACGATTTAAATTACATAAACAAAAAGCACAGACTAAAGTTTGACACAATTAATGGACAAAAAAAAAAAAAAGGTAGATGGACTGTACACTTTCTTTGACTTAGATGGATGCAGTGGGAAGCTTGATTAACGCCAGCTTTATTCATTCACCTGATCACGAAAAAAATTTGTGCTAGATCTTGCAACTCTGATCATCAAGTTTAGAGATTTTATATATTATAAATGAATTCTAAGTATTGCTATTCTGCACTCATATGGATAAATTTGCCCAGTTTCTTGCTTAGCTTTTAACTACATAGCCATATAATTAGCAGGAAAACAGCACCAGATGCTATTTTTTTCTTGGTGTACTAACCTAAGCAAATCTTAGCAAATATTTGAAAGGAGTGAGGTATTTGCTGTGCTCGAGCAGTAAAGTGTATGAAGGCATGAACTTGAGCACAGTGCAAATCTTGTATGAGCACTGCAGGAGAGTAAACTGCAAATAGAAAGCTTTTGAATTATGATAACCACATTGTAACCAATCGACATTTATATGTTATGACTGCACAGCATGTAATGACTAGCACCACAATTTCGGACCAAATTAATATTCCCAGTTACCATTTAGGGTACCTGCGGCAATCACGGTCAGCCTCCATACATTGAGCTCACTAGCATAATGTTGTAGGATGCTCACCCTTCATGCAATGCAACTTCTACACTGTCATCCTTTACGGACTTGCTTGCACAAGAATGTGCTTCAAGGGCTACAATGGCGGGCGCTATTATTGTGTGACCACAGTAAATGCTCATTTGTGTATAAGCACTGGATACCTGCCGGCACACTGGCCCTCCTACAGCATCCGTGGACAAGTTTGGTTGTGTAAACAAATGAGGTTCAGTGAACATCAATTAAAGTAATAATAAAAGTGTAGGCGCAATGAATTGAAGCATTGAAGAAGGGTTGTTTATATAGTAGCCCTGCAATGCCAAAAAAATACACAATGAGAAATATTCTACATATGAATGCCTAACGGCAATAGCATTCCTCTCACTTTTCATCATTAATTCAGCTTTGCCATACAAGTGCAACCCGTCATAAAATCTGCGCCACTTGCAACATTGTTTTGGGAGTATAAAAGTTAACATGCCATAGCTGCCTTAGTTTTCCAACTATGGGGTAATGCCCAAGCATACGAAGCTAGGGTATGACACTATGATTGACACTGCAAGATTCCAATACATTACCGAGCATTAATTTAGTGGTATAGTATATATGCAAAATGGAATGAAGCTTGCGAGCTTTGTGAATAACATGTGATGAATTTCTCTTTGGAGGTACTGATGTTATGACAGCTCATTAAAAATATTCCGCATGACAAAACATTCCAGGACAACCTTAATGTGGTCATCCTTCTGACTTAGATGCAAGCAGGCTCAAGTGTGCACAGAATATACAAGCCAACATAAGTAAATGTTAAGGTCCTTTATGTTTTAGATTCATTTTCAAAGTATAAATGGCAACTTAATTGACCGCGAAGATTGCAAAACAGCAGGAATCAATGCCTACAGTTAAAAAAAATAAAAAAAGCAGTTCTGAAAGATGAAGCACACAAGCAGCAATGCTGCAGATTAACACAAATGATATATGCCTCGTAACAAACACAATAATAGAAAATTCTGCAGTTCCTACTGTGATGACGACTGACAAGTGATAATATGCGCGAAAGTATGGCATACAGGGTGTTTCAGAAATGAAAATGTGTCCAAAAACTCTCGAAGTGAGGGAACTGCAATATTTGATTGCTACCACTGACACCCCCCTTTCTGAGGATAGCAGACATTAAAATGACAAGAGCTACTAATTATGTGAGTAATTGCAGAAATTAAAATAGCCAGCAGGCAGGTGAGTGGGTCAAATGGGACCTCTCAAGTCCTTCCTATAAGAGCCAATTGCAACTCTGTCGATAGAAAAGCCTCCGGTAACTTTTATGGAACAATGAAATCCAGCTTATTTTGCCGGAGAACTGAAACTGAAATGCTGTAGAGTGCAACTGTAATACTCGTCTGAGAGTTAAGAATGAGTGAGCTTCATTACATCAATTATCCATACACTTCACTACCTAGGCACATGAACAACGATTGCCATGATAGCTTGCGTGGTGCATGCACGTTCACAAAACTTGCACCAGTGCAATTGTTGGAAACTGTTATCTTTCAGTGGCAGTGGCACTCTTCCATGTTTCGGTTTCAGTTTTGTCAGTGGATTTGGTTCAAGCTATCATTTCACTAAAATCACCTGAGGTTGCCATTTGAAAATCTCAAGGCGGCACTTCAACTTTCTCTAAAAAGTTGTTCTAGTTGGTCGACCACAACTGGTAAAGATAAGTTAGCGCTAAGAATAAACCGATAAGAAACACAAGAAAACACCGAGCCTCATTTATTTTCTTCCGCTCCTTGACATTTTATTATTCGCACTAATCTATTTCATTGAATTGTCTCATTTGAACTGATACCTGACTAAAATGGTAATTATATTTAGTCTAAACAAGTAATGGTGTAACTGTAGTAAACTCATCACAAGATGTCTGCTGTCACAAGAATGGTAAATGTGAATGCAGCAAGTACACACATTGCACTTCTTTCATCTTTGAGCACCTTGATGACAAGTCTTGAAATGCCTCGCATACCGGGCATGGGATAAGTTCAGAAAGTGTCTAAACAAGGCAAAGCAGTGGTTTTATTTCCTAGAATACAAATTTTGCCACATGCAATAGTAGAATTGTAAGAGTAACAAAAGAAAAAAAAACGTGGAGCTTTGTAGAGTGGAAGTTAAGGTTTTTAGCCCCCCAGGCTGAATACTGCATTCAGCTGCTGAAAGCATTAGAACTGAAAACTCGAGAAACTAACCATGTCTTTACGCTATGGTAACTGCACAACAGTCAGTAACTCATCTAAGCTGAACCATTAAAACTACTTCAGTTTATTTGCGATTCATATTGTCTACTGGCATTGTCCACATAATTAACACAATATGCCACTGGATTTGCTATTGAATCAAACAATTCAAAACGACCACTATTAAGTTTCAGCATAGTGATACTATACTGCTACTGATATTCCAGCCAGCTGCAGACATGTGGCGTATTCCTAGCATACATAAAATTAGGAGCTGGTGCATTACAGTGAATTAAATTGCCTAATTATTTCTGCCATTATCTTGCAAGCTGACAATTACTTTGCACCATCTAGATTATGGAACATCTTTGTACAATGTCAAATGCATGGCATATATAATATCAGCTGGTTCTGGGATAGCTTCAACATAATTATCAATGGCGCCCTGGAAAGTGCCTATATAATGGGATTAGCGTCTCCAACAAGCATGCCCATATGTATGTGAATGCAACCCAACTTGGAGGAACGTAATGGGACAGAGCACCTACTCCTTCCTAGTGATCCTAGCTCACAAGCTTACGCTTTTGATTCAAGCAGTTTTATTTATGTCTTCTTGGCTGTGGCCCATTTGATATACAGTATTTAAATTTTCTGAGTGTACTCATGTCTCTTGCTTCCTTGGAGTGTCAAGCTTTTAATAGTAGTGTCACTATTGACAAGGCGAATTTTTTTTCCTACTTTTGCTTTCTATTCAACTGATTGCTGCTTTGTATCAACCCATGCACAACCAGTAAAATGTGCTCGAGCAACTGCAGCCATTTCGCTCGGTCGCTAGGAGACTTGCCTGTCTTGAGAGTCGGCAGATGTTTAGGCTTTCAATATCGTTTCCAACTAAATGAAGAAAAGCCCAACAGATTGTATAGCTCAGCATGCACAAGGGCTCGTATTCTTGGAGGAGCACAACATGATAATAATAATAATAATAAAAAAAAAACATGAAGAGCCCAACTGATATGTTCGTACGCGTGAAGAACTAGCCAAAATAATGAACCTGACAGCTGAAATATAGTAGTTTCACACACATCATTCACAAAGCCACAAGCATATATACAAGAGAGTAGAGCGAACAATGAAATTTGGCTAGGCTATACAATGCAACACAAAAGACCACGATTCCTGGCAAGCTGTATAAAAAAATGCGTTGTTTGCATCGGCACAAGATGGAAGGAAAGCTGCTTGATGGCATAAGAAAACAATAAGGTACACAGCTTGCACAAGCACAACTAAAAAATGCGGCATAGTTCTCACTTTCATGATAACTTTAAGATGATTCAATGATACCCGGTATAGAATGCCCAGAGTCACAAACACGGCAACTTACAGCTAAAGGAAGACACGCACATTAAACAAAATGACTTATAGAGAAATATGCACATGACAGTTTTCAAAGATTATACCAAGTGTCATGACAGAAAATTCACATGCATGATGTCAACAGACGTTGATGTATACAACAGAGAAACTTACATACATGAAATTAACAGATGCTCAGTTAGTGAACCGATTTCAAAGCTCAGGTTTACTTTTTGATGATGCAAGACTAGTTTGCTCAACTGTTGCTGCATAACGAACACCACTTCTCTCCATCTGCTCATGTTTTCCACCATGCAGCACCTTGTCTGTTGGTTTGTTCCTTGCCAAAGTCTATGGTTGGCAGGCATCCCTTAAGGCTTAACATTAAGGGTACAAAAGGGATAGCTGTCACATTTTTCCCTCAATATAGAAGGAGCCTGGGACTTCGTTGACTGCAGTTTTCATAGATGATAACTGGGCAAGGCATCTCCTCTGCTCGCTACACCATAACAACCTTGATGCTCCGGCCTTGGCCCTGCAAATATCGAGACAGATGGTTAAGCTCTGCAATGACTTGCTTATTGCAGGAAAGAAATCAAAGGCAGAGGCATTAGAACACACTTTGAACATAGCAAAGAGAATGCATCACAGTGACCTAACAGACATAGGACATACCATGAATGAGTGACGAAGGGTGTAGTCGGACATGGGTTAATGAAAATGAGTGCTGGTGAGTCCATAGCTTGGGGTGTGAAGAGGAGAAAGTGTCAATTAACAAGAGTGTACAAAAGGCTGGCGACTCTTTGAACTCGTGTCACTACGAACGTGAGCAACAGTCGGCAAGTGCTAATAAATGTAGGAGTGAATGTTAGAGCTCATGTGTAGGGGGCACTAGTGAATCTTTAGCGTAGTGAGCCATTAAAGGCATGACTGATTTAGTGTTGGCAAGTTATGAAAATTATGCATGAGTGAATACACCCACAAAGATATTAGAGAGTAAGTTCAATTGATTATCTACAGACTGTGCTAAACTATCCTTGTTGCTGGTGCTCGCACTGCCGATACACAGCTACAGCACTTGGACTTTTTGCTTGCTCATAAAAAGTTGAATGTGACGTGGTCAGCATAGCTAGTTTGTACCTTAAGGGGGGACGCGGCACTTCGGGACCGAAAATCAGCCAAAAAATCGAGTTTTCGCGGACCTTCTTTTCGCGTTCCCGACATCATTGCGCACCTATTTACAAAATTTCATAGCCGAATACCATCAACTTTTATCGTTATTCAACTTTAAAAAACCGAAAACGGGCGTCCTGCCCTTTAAATTGAGGGCGAATAGCGCAGGTTTCGGCTCTACGATACGCGGGAACTACGCGCTCGATCGGCGCCATTTTGGTCTTGTTTGAAAGAACGCGTTTTCAGCTGTTTTTTTTATTCAGTAAGCAACATTGAGCGTTTCCCTGGCTCGAAAAACGGGGCCTCAAAGACGAAGAGCCGCGCTCACTGCCATTGGCTAAACGGCGCACGTGACTGAAATGGCGCTTTCCGGTTGGCTGGAAGCTCGCGGCTTGCGCCTGCATACGCGACCCGACGCCACTTTGAAAGGGTTACCGCTGTGACGCCTCGAAATCGGCAGAGCACTCTGAAGCTTCTGATCGTATCGCCATGCCTGGAAACGCAAAAAAGTATCGGACCGTGCACGCATTTGGTCGCAGGAAACGCAAAGGTCGTGGGAGAAAGTCTACGAAGTCATCAGAGCCCTTGGTTGACTCCGACGAACGATGTGTCGACGCTCCGCGGCCGTTCAGCGATGGTGCGACCGAGCGCGTTGCCTCCGACGACGATGACGGTGAAAAGAACTCCGGACGACTACGAATCGACGCCAAGGTGGTGACAAACGCCGAAGTTGAAGAAAATCATGCCCGGGAGAAAGCGACGCTCGACCGGCTTTCATCGGCGCCAGCAACTGCACGGAAAATTGACTTTTTCACCGTGAGTTGTAGCGAGGCAACCGCACAGGACTCGGACCACGCTGCTCCTTATCTGCTTATGCATCTAGATATCCTAAACGCGATAATGGATCGGGACTACGGACTTGCCGTGAAAGTGCTAGTGCAGTGTGAAAGGTGCGGCGAGATCGCGAATGAATGGACTTCGCCCCGCGCGAACGGCACGAAAACGTGCAATCCGTTTGAAGTAAATCTTCTCGCTTCGAGGGCGATGGTGGCTACCGGCAACGGCCAAACGAAAATGAACGATATTTTCGCAACAATGAGCATCTCATACCGCGGTATGCACCACAAGACGTTTCAGCGGCATTTGAAGAACACGCTGGCACCCGCTGCAACGCGAGCGGCTGAGTCCGCTATGAGCGAATGTGCGGAAAAGGTTAGAACAATTTATGATGACTTGTGCTTCGGCCACCGGGGCAATATTGCCGTTAGCTACGACGGCACGTAGAAGACGCGAGGCCATTCTTCCCACATCGGCGTGGGCACAGTTATCGAATTATTTAGTGGCTACGTGTTGGACTACGTCGTTCTTTCCAACTTTTGCCTAGGCTGCAAAGTGGGCCCAAAGCCTAGTAGTGAGGGCTATCAAGAATGGAAGGCTAACCACAAATGCCAAAAAAATACGAACAGCAAAGCGGGGCAAATAGAAGTGGAGGCGGCTCGAATTCTATTTCAGAGGTCGCTTGAACGCCATGGCCTGCGCTACACAACTATGCTGTCTGATGGAGACTCTAGGACATTTTGCGCCATACAAGACGCCAAGGTGTATGGTTATATTGACGTGCAGAAGACTGTATTAATCATGTACAGAAACGGATGGGCACCGCATTGAGAAACCTGGTGCAGAAACAAAAGTGCGATGGGAAAAGAGGCCTTGGTGGGAAAGGCAGGCTCACAGGTGAGCTGATCACCAGGCTGAGCACATATTATGGCCGGGCTCTGAAATCGCATGAAGGTGACGTGGGCGAGATGCAAAAGGCTGTGATGGCCACATACCGCCACGTCACCTCCACTGATGAATGCTCGGACCACAGTCTGTGCCCAGCTGGTGAAACTTCATGGTGTCCGCACAATGTGGCAAAAGCAAAGGGTGAGCCCGACCCCAGGCATGCCTACAATCTACCGAAAGACGTGGCAGAGGCATTACTACCGGTTTATACCCCGGCTTTCGGAAAGAGCCCTGCTTCAGAGGTGCGAACGCGGCAAAACGCAGAACTCCAACGAGAGCCTACATTCGGTAATCTGGAGTTTGGCCCCTAAGGAGCACCATGCGTCCCTGTTCGCTGTTGAAGCAGCTGTTGCAGAAGCAGTGCTGCGCTTCAACACGGGCAATTTGAATTCTGCAACGGCAATCTTAGGTGAAATGGACATGAATGCGACAAGTACTGGTGCCAGGAGAGCGAGAGAAAAAGACCACCGTCGCAGCATTGTCTCCAACAAGAAAAGAACAGCCTCATTGGAACTCCGGAAGCTAGTGAAGAGGAGGCATGAGCACAGAATGCATTCAGACTATGCTTCTGGTGCGTTTTGAGGTTGTCTTGTTGCATCTTCTGCAATAAAAATGTGTGCCCACGTTTTTTCCTCGATTTCTCAAAACGACAATTTTCATGTGCTTCCCATTATGCCGGAGCAATATCTCTTGTTCTATCTGGGTTATCATTACGATTTCTTTTTTGTTTCAAAGATAAATGCAGGGGATGTGTCGTAAAGTAAGTTTTATTGTAATAATTTTTGGAGAAAATTCTCTAAATGGATCTTTTGTTTCAAGTGTAGATGGGGAAATTTTTCATGTCATATTCAACATCCCACAACTTTGCTTCGAAATAGCCCAGAACAATGATTTATACTTTATTGCACACTGTGAACATACCGAATTGGTTCTATAGGTTGCACATCAATATCCAAGTTACAGTTAATTAGCTAATTAGGCCTTAATTGAAAAAGTCGCAGTACATTACATCTTTAAAACTAATTGTCACAGCAAAAAAAGAATTAGATTTTTGAAATCAGCAGTAAAATCTACATAGGCTCTCCAAATTTGACTGAGGTACTCGCAAACATAAAAGAGTTTTTGGAAGGTGTAGCATCCCCCCTTAATCAACTGGCCAATTATAACAATTTGTTTGAAGCAGACAAAAAACCTTACAAGTGTTGTATAAAGACAGGCTGCATTTCTTGAGCTGGGTTGAACTGGTTGTGGAAAAGGCGCTGCACTCATGCCTCTATATGTCGAGCCCACATATAACGGCCCCACTTAAAACGAACAATATCCACGTGACCGTGAAAATATACATTGCTTCAATGGCACAAAATCGCACTTACAACGAACATCTCTGAGCGCCACCGATCGGTTACAGCGAACGGAGTCAGCGGTCTGCCGACTTCCCGGGAAACCGATTTCAACCACGGATCAGGCATCGGCGTGGTGCCCATACATTCTTATTGTTAAACGCCGACCCTGCCTCCGCGACCCCCTAGTTGCCGCTCTCCCCCAACCCATAGAGGAAGGAAAGCTGTTTCTTTCCTCCATGCCCCGACTGCTTTTTGTTACACACCTCTCCGTCCTTTGTCCCTCCACTACTCTAAGCATCCCGCATCGCCAGACGAGGCTCGTGTTTTCACGGGTTTCGTCTTTCGAAGATCTTTCGAAGACCGGTTGGCCATCTACCCTGTTTTTAATCGCTGGTACCATCATTGGCGTCGCCGGCCTGGAATGACCAGACCATTTGCCAACATCGCCGGCCACAGATTGTATCTGATAGTCTGCGTCTACTACCCTACCGACTCTGATAATTTGCGATTTGGTTCGTGTTTAGGACTTTTCTCGCTCAGTTCGCACTCGGCTCAGCATGCCTTCCGCGCGCGTGTGGAGCGTGAAAACGGCTGTCGATTTGTGCAGAACGAATCGCGAAATATCGAAGTTGGTGAGGCCACGCAAACCCGCCGGCACAACAAAACGATTTTTTGACCACGGCCGCCGATTCTTCGAACACCAACGCGCGTACCGATCCAGGCAGCCATTCTTAGACTTCTGTGTGCACAGGCACTCTTTCCAAGTTTTTCTACATGCTAGTTTCGCGAAGTTTTCAAGAAAGCTACCCAACCTGCCTCCTTTCCGCGTGTTTTGATTTTGCAAGGTCGCCCTCCCGCCACATCCTCCCCTTTCTTTATCGCAACTCCTTGCCCTTCTCTCACAAGTCTGCTCTCCTCTCTTGATAACAACCCCTTCGCCTGTTACGCTGGCTCCAATTAGTTTGTTTTCTGACCGGATAGGGGCCCAGAGCTCTTCCATGCGTTCTGGCATGTGCGTCGCGTGTGTGCGACTTGCTCGCCCTTGGTGTGTGTGTGTGGTTATGATGGCCGACAGAAGGACTAGCACGCTTTTTCCTGCCGCTCAACAAAACGTCAAAAGTGTGACCGATTGGCTTGAGCGTAATCCGCACGTTAGGTGCCACGTTGCGGAGCGCTTGCTCATAGCTGTTGACCACCTGGCAGCCAACTTGCCGCTTTGGGCGTCCTGGTATTTAGCTGTGGAGATGGTGAATATTTCGCGAATGGCGGTGACGACTACATGCACGCGAAACTGTTTTCGCGAGGCCGACTTTGTCGACGTCGGGCCCGATGCCAAGTCTGAAGCTTCCGAACTGCGGCGGCAATTTGTGGCAGCGCTTCGTTGACTCTGACCTGGGAGCGCGGGTGGGACATCTGCTGCGATGATTTAATTACGGCCTATGATGATGCCGACACTGCCGAACCATGCACGGATTGGGACATTGTAAATGAAGTACGTGGCGAGAACGATTTGAAGGAATCAGATTGCGAGAACGACGAAACTTTGGAGCCAGTGCCTTATGCAGCTTATGCCACGGGCCTCGGCGGACGAGCACCCTGTCGTTTTTAAATGAACTCGAGACCGCCCTTATCACTTCTGCTCTTCAAAACACGTGCGTCACGGACTTTGTGGGGCAAAAAAGTTTGTGTTTTCACTCGCAACTTTTTTTCAAAAGCTGTGTTTCATTTACTACGAACTGCGGGATACAGCAAACGGATGCCTCGACACGCTCAGGTTCATTATTAGCGGGCTCGACTGTAAAGCGAACCCGGATATAACAAAATATTGGTTATAACAAAGTAAATGAAAAATAGTATTGCAATAGATATAGTGTTAGGTATAGATCTCTATATCGAATTTTCGGATATAGCAAACTTATTGTCGCACAAGATACAACTTTGTCATAATGAGATTTGAATGTATAAGACATTCCCTGAAATGCTTATTACATGAATTATCACTCTATACCAATGAGGATGCTATTGTGATGGATAATGCTGCCCGACTTATTAATGAAAAGGAATGAAAGGATTGCTAAAGCGTCTCCTGTTGATGCTAGTGTTATCCGCAAGCCAAATAATAATTGAATCATCAAAGAGATGGCCTCTCATAGAACCACTTGCTAGTAATTTAGTGTTTATGGGCTTCACTTTCGGATACATGCTTGTTTCTACACTGTTCAACTGACAATGAAAGAGGGAATACTTGTATTTACGAAACACGGCAGACCTGCCAAGGCGGTTGAAGTGAACAAGGCCATTCAGTCCTTGAACTTGTGTCTGGAACGGCTGGCAGAAGCAATGTCGGCTTCACTGAGGAATTCAAGGTAGCCTTCAGCACCGGTGAAGATGACGTCGACCCATATACGCATGGCCTCAGCTGTGGGTGCCATCAGGTGGAAGGTACGTTCATACGTTTTGACACAGAACGTCACACGTGGGTTTGGACTCTTGACAGAGTGCAGGTGGTCCACATAGACCTCCTCTATGGCCTGTGTAAAAAAAAAAAGTCAGAAAAATGCAAGGTGAGAACATGTGAAACATTCTGCAATATAATAAAAGGCAGTCGAAAAGATTGTGACATAGATGCACAATAGAAAACAGAGCCCTATTGTGACTAAACGACAGCAACATCAGCACATCACCTGAACCTCACTTACAATTTTGCGCATAAAATGCAAGCTCTAGGCGTTGGTGCAATGACATCACATGGTGTTGAGCTGCTGAACGATGTGTTCTAGAAAAGTGCGATAACTGCAATGACACTACACCATGCCATAGCAGGCACCCAATGTCGACATGCAGAGAGTTGCCATGTAGCATCAAGGTCCAAAAAATTGCAAAAGTGCACAATTTCAGCTGCACTACCCTGTAAATGTGAATTATTCACTTAAATTATGGCAGGCTGGCCATGTGGCTTTAGAAAACAAGTTTTGCAAAAATACAAGTGAGAATTTCTACTAATATTCATATCAACAAGTAAGAATAAGCATGACACATGAAAGGCATTGAATACAGTGCCATACGAGTGCAGCACGTAACGCTAGAGTGGCATACATGTTTATCTATTTAATTACTTGAATCGCTTCAGTAAAGAAGTGAAAAACAAATATATGTTGGTGGGCACAAAACATAGCCGTGGTAAAAAAGTAACAAGGTAGTAATGGCATGTTCAGGTAACATACTATAACAGGGTGCCCAAGCTCTCTTTAGTCTAAGTTGAAAAACATGCCAATGCACTCTATGACAATGCAACCGTTGCTTACTAGCATCTAGAGTAAGTCACAATAGTTTTTTTGTTTTCCAACTAATTTACCAATTAGGTATGGTTGGCCTAATTAGGCCAATTAGGCATGAATGAGGCAGAAAGCCAAAAATTTTATTCCTAAATCCACTACCACAGACCAAGTATTACAAGAAGGCTGTCATTGTTGCCATGCACAGTTGGCATCAAATGTTTATGGGGCACATTTTTTTATTTTTTTTGGGGGGGGGGGGGGTTTAACGTCCCAAAACCACCATATGATTATGAGAGACGCCGTAGTGGAGGGCTCCAGAAATTTTCACCACCTGGGGTTCTTTAACGTGCACCCAAGGGGGCACAGCATTTTGGTGTTTGGATTAACAGTCTCTGCTACCATACATGAATACACCTGTCATACACTTTTTAAACTCTGTCAAAAAAAAAAACAAAAGATCGCACCTAGTTGTAAGCCCGGACACGTTTCCTTTGTGGTCGCCTACAACCTATGTATGTTGCATCTGCTCCCAGTTAAGTCCAAAGAATGATGTGCCACAGTAATTATTAATTGCAAAAGACAATATAAAAGAAAGTTACCTTGTACAATTCACATAGTTCTGCCATGCATTTTTTTATTACTGACACGCCATATCAGCGAGCGGCACAAGCAAAAAAAAAAAAAAAGACCTTCACAAGCAGTCAACTAGGAAGTTTCCATAGAAGTGTGGGGGGAGGGGGGGGGGGTGAGGTGGAGAAGAAAATAAGGAGAAAATAACCAGACCTCAAAGACAAGCTTAGAGATTTATTTAGACAACCTCACGTAGTCTAGGCTGATAAAGATAATAGCCCTTGAATTAGCAGGCAATCAATGTGTAGGCAAAAGGAAAGAAAATGCTAAGACACTTAAGGTCCAACCCTTTGAAGGCCAGTTGTACTTGTCATTTTGTTCTTCTAAGCATCAACATAGGGGCAGAATACAGTTTTGTTGGACAAACATGGTAACGTTACATTCAGGCGTGTTTTTATTTCTAAAATTTTAGGCTTCCCTTAGATTCAAGTAAAAAGTAACAAAGTAGCTCAGCCCCTCATGAGCAAAACCAATATTACAGCACAGCTGTGTAGCACAAGTACTGTGTGTTTCAGTCTAAAACAGTCACCTTGCTGTAAATAAGCATTTTCATGGATGACTGTGCTTGTGCCAAGGTGCTACAAGGTACAACTGATAAGTATGATAGCGAGCCACTCCAGCATGTAATCGACGGGGCTGTCCAAAGTCCATGCACAAGTGCTAAGTGAAGAAGGATTGTGTAGATACAAGTGAACAGATAAGCGGAAAGTGAAAGATGTGCAGAGGTGTGGGCGATCTAGTGAAGTGGGCTTGTATATTGCCCAGTAGCAGTAACAGTACCAAACTATTATTTGGTAGGTACAAATTATAAATCAGGGAAAAGGTGTCACTGGCTGCCGCTACCGCAAAATCCAGCTCTTGTATTCAGTTAATGCTATTTTCTTATAAACAGAAGCTCTTTAAATATAACTGCACACACCATGAGCAGTTGGGACATAATTCAATTTGACAAATTTTCTTGAGGCAATTATTTCACCCAATATTATAGCAACTTTCTTTGTGTAGCTAGTTAATAAGGCAATAAATGCCTGACGAGAATAGCCAATAAAATATAACAAGGGCTAAATTGTTAGGTGCACGAGGTAGGATTAATATATTTCAATTATCAATATACTGATGAGAGGTGGAATATACTAATTCCACTCTGTGTCACTAAATGATGCTTTCTTTGCTTTTTTTTTTTTTGATAAAGCTTGTTACTCAAACACCCTGCTAGAAAAGCTGGATTATACCTCCTGGTCACATTCCTGACAGATAAATCTCAACAGGTGTTCTTTCCATTTGCGTATCCAAGCCTGCTCATTGGCACATGGTAGAATACAATAAATTTCAGAATAACATTGACATTTTCTTATTACTTCATTCATTTTATATTATTTGAGTTTGAGTTTTGAGATGTTCTCAGATTTATTCAATCTCCTTAAGACGCCTCCAAGAAATGTGTCTTATGCACTCACTTTTTACATATTGTTCTTCTACATAACTTGAATCACTGATAACAGCCACTACTATAAGTTACCATAAAGTGCATACTGACATGCTGTCATTTATCAGTCGTGGTTGAATGAAACGACATCGCGTGCTTGCATACGTACCTGAAATGGCACACCACCCTTCAGCTTGGTTTCAGTCTTGTCGCTGAAGTACATGAGGGCCCGTCGGTTACGGTCAAAGACAAACCAACGCTTCTTCCATGAGCGCCACTTGCCACCCAGCTTGTGTAGGTAGCCACGACAGGATGACGATGTGAGCTGCACATGCGGGCACAGCTCCACCTGGTGACCCGCGGACTCCACGTGTTGTCGCAGGTCACACTCGGCGCCGCGCACAGGCAGGTACCGCGTCAGTGGCCTCTGCAGATCCACAACGGAGAAATGGAATGGGCTGTGTTACAGTATTTCACTGACTGAGACAGATCCTGTTATCAAATTATATCAGTTCTTTCTAAGCAATTCTGCTGCATTGCACTACTGAAAGGATTTCCGAGAGGTGTGTGTACCGATTTCATGGTTACATTGGTGTGACAAACAATGACAGTGGTGCGACACAGAACATTCAATCACATTATATGGGGGCTTTATTGAAGTACGTATATCTACTACACAGCTGTAACTGCGCAATGCAATAAGCTATATGTTAGACTGAGTTTTAATGCCTGCATCATTGAGCCAAACTACAGGTCTGCTGAAGAAGCCACGTGTACTATCAGCATAAAGTGAAACACAAGAAATATTGAAACTACCTATATATTGTTTAGTTCACAGGTTAAATTCAAACTGCAACCTCGGCTTAATCAAAACTGCGACAAGTACATCTGGGACTATTGCCTGCTTACAAAAATCTGTTACAAAGTACCAGCTTATACACTAATTAAATGTAGCAAACATTATGAGTAATTTCCTGTTTGTATTTCATAATAATTTCTCAGGTTTAATGTGCCAAAACAGTAATATGACTGAAACATACCATAGTGCAAAGCTCCCAATAATTTTGACAATACGAGGTTCATTGATGTGCACAGAAATTACACTGAAGGTGGACCTCTATAGCATTCCACCTTCATTGCAATGCTATCACCATGGCCGGGATCAAAACTGCACCTTACATGAGAGCATCCAAGCACCGTACACACTACACCACTGTGGCCACCCTGCTTGCATTTCAAATTAAACTGATAGTACAGTGCTTGATGGATCTACTTTGGATCCACATCTGGGAAATGCCTCAGAAATTCTAAGTTAGAAAGGCTTTTATATATAAATCAAAGCCGAAATTGGAGGTGGCAGTAAGGAGTACCTCATGCAGATGTATTCAATAGGTTGCAAGGACTACATGGGCCATACAGGGTACTTTAGAGTTTAAAGGGGCCCTGCAACACATTTCAAGCACGGTTCGAAAATTCTGACGATTCGTAGTCGAGGCTTCCGAGAACATGCGAGCTAAATGTTATAGCACAGCACGCCCCAGTCTGGAATTCCCAATAAATCCTCGAATTCAGCTAACATTAGCTCTCTATTTTCTTGACGAACGACGGATACAAGCTCAAAAATCACTCGTCACAGCCATTGTATCGAACATTGGCCGACCTGAGCATGGCGCGCGCAGTCGTTACTGCGATGGTCGCGGGAGGCCAAGAATAGTCTTTTTACAACTCCACTCGTACCGAATGGATTCAAGTAATTTTCGTGCGTGAATTCATGAGGTATAAGCTCTTTTAGTGAATTCATTCCATGGCTAATTGAAGTGTTGCATGGCCCCTTTAGAGTCTGCATAAATCATGCCTTTCCCTGATCAACACTGTCATTGCCTCATTCTTTGCCTCATTCAGGAATATTCAGGCCACGTACAACTGCATACATTGATGGTGTCTGATAAAAATAATAACAGCCTTCACAGACTACTTCCAGCCCATCCATAGGGCCCACGACATCCAGGACGAAACTTCGACTTCTGGTCCCACGGTGAACGGAGCCACCAACTTGATATGGGGGAAAGCCTATAGCTCCCCTAAATATCTTTCTCTCAGGACCTAAATAAAGTTCTTGTCATGCCATGTCATTTAGCATGTGTTACATGTACCCAGAGATACTTCTGATTAGGTGTCTCTTTAAAACCTGATAGCAATTGAGTAAAATTTCTCATAAGCGAACTGAAAAACAGCCGTCTGGGTGCTTACTCTTGATGTCACGGTATATACGGCAATGTTGTACATTAATATAAGAACTGTGGTTAACAAATGAATGCATTTAATCTATACAGACCTATACATTTGTGATCACAACAAAACTCGCTCAAGGAATGGAAGGTTGATCAACAGAATGCTTGCCAAGATGAACAAAACAATAAAACTTTATTGGACATTAGTAACTGCCGTTTAACTAATGAATGGAAGTGATATACTCGCTGCATAAACTGCTGTGATACTTTATGTTGCTTCAGAGCCATTTTAGCCTGCTCACTTCAACCACTAACATGTTAACGACATTATAGAGAGAGAGGTCATAGAAAGAAAAAATGTCATCTGAATTAGTAAAGTACTTTTCGGCAATATAAAAATTGCACTATCATCACAAGTTGTGGATCAGACGTAAAGCCAGGAGGCAGAGAGAAATGATCTACATAAGGTGCTACCACTCTTTGCCAAAAATGAAACTAATTATGTGAAAACACTTGTGTAATAAAAGTGTCTGTACTATCACACATATGCAAGCGTGCTTCTTCGTTAAGTAAATTAGTTAATGACAGTGCTTTGTCTGTCCTAAGGCCTCTCTTGTTGTAGTGTGTGTGCCTTTCCTAGTGTCTGTTTCAGTGCTTAAAAATGAGTTCAGTTTTAATAATAATATTACCAAAATTACTTCTTCAACGAAGGTCTTTCAAGTGAGTCATCATGCTTACCTGAGCCTTCTGTTTTTCTCGTCGGCGTATCTCGTGATGAATGGCGTCATCACCTGAACGAGACACCAACCCTGACCGGTCCTCTGAATTCAGCTGCAGGTTGCGCTCATGTTGATGCACCTGCACAGGAAGGAAGACAAGTGCTGTCTCTCTCTCTTCTCATGTGACATCAATTCATGCTTCAGTTGATTGATTGATTGATTGATTGATTGACATGTGCGGTTTAACGTCCCAAAACCACCATATGATTATGAGAGACGCCGTAGTGGAGGGCTCCGCAAATTTTGACCACCTGGGGTTCTTTAACGTGCACCCAAATCTGAGCACATGGGCCTCGACATTTCCGCCTCCATCGGAAATGCAGCCGCCGCAGCCGGGATTTGAACCCGCGACCTGCGGGTCAGCACAATTCATGCTTCAGTTCAAGTTCAATTTTGAGTACACACAAATATTCTCTCCCACTAAATGTCATTGCATACCATAACACCATTTATTGAGCATTGGCTGATGAATATTGATTCCCCATAAAATCCTGGACAGAATGCATGCAACCTTGACAGTACATCTTTTATGACGTCATTCCAAACGCTGGTCACTTCCAACACATTACTTTTTGACACATTCACATCAGCTCAAACTTTCCGAGCTGGAATATCAGTGTCGCATTATGCTGGTGAAAATGTGGAGGCTGTGCCCTTGGTATGCCTAATTTTCGATGCACAAAAGCTATGCTCAGTGCCCTCGATACAGCACAGATTCAACAGAGGGCAGGTGATGCTGTGTAGGTGCACTGAGGTCAATGAAAGCTGGTTTAGCCATGAAGGCTATGAAAAATGTGAAGTGCATGCAGTTGACCCCCTCTAGAGCAACAGCACATAATGCTTGGTTGGACGCTATGTAAACAAATTGCACCGAACACTAATGAACACCACCAATGAGTTTCTCTGGAACATGTCAATATGATCAATCAAATGTCATGTGAAAATGAACTGCGAATCGATTCTCAGTTACTATTACTACTAAAGAAAGCGGTAGTTTTTCACGTCAAAGGAACAATCATTTCAAGCAATCTCACTTTGATGTTGAACAACAGAACCATAGAAATAGTTGATGGAATTAAAGTACTAGGAACATATTTCTGCAGAACACGAGACCAACACATGCACTTTCTTATAAAAAAAAATACTTAGCCGCTTCACAGGCATGGTTAATAGCAATACATATCGTCTACCAACATCTGTAAAACTTAATCTACAACTCACTATTTGCAACACACATCAATTACGCTCACCTCGTATGGGGTACTACAACAAAATCTAACCTTGAAAAAAATACACTTATTACAAAAGAAAATAATATGTATAATAACAAACGCAACATATCAACATCGCACTGAAGACTTCTTTAGGGAGTACAACATCCCCACTATCTTTTCAGTCTACAATAGTTTCCTACTTCACGTATGGCACGACAATATAAATTCAGAAAATGGCGTATTTAACGCAATAGCCTGTCTACATAAAAACACAACTACCCATATTACCCGTAAAAGTGAAGTAAGGTTTATACCCCAATCACAAACAAATATGGCATGAAAATGTTATAAAACCAAATTACCCAGATTGCTTAATTCACTAAGAAATGCTGGTTTTAATACATCAAACGTAACGCGGTTTCAACTAGCTTCACTCATTCAGTCCCTCCCTTACTGTTTTTTTTCTGTTCTTTCTAGAAATTACCACTGCCTTTGAAAAGAGTGTGCTTGAGCAAGTCATCAGTTTGCATTGTATGAAAGATTGTTTCCTCACGCGCACTTATATTTATGTACTGCACATTATATCGTATTTTATGTGTTCCTTCTTGTATTGTGTAATTGTTAATCGCTGTTGGCATCCCGAATATCAACCCAAGCACGTCTTTAGCTTCCTCCGCCACCTTCTGCCACCATGGAGAACGGAGGCAAAGAGCTAATCAAGCTGCCTGGAGCATTTTTTCCTGGCCCCTATACCGTTGTATAAGAATTTTTAGAATGGAAATAAAGAATGAATGAATTAATTAAATATGCCATCTTTATTACCACGTACGTGAGCAGGCGATTAACGCAGAACGCCCCCTGCTGCGCGTAAATATCTTCACCAAGCAAAAAAAAAAAAAAAAAATCTCATCCCAAGCACGGCGTATAACGAAACACTCGACTGCGCAAGCGCCGAACGCACCTTCGAAACGCGCCGAAGACCTCCAAACAGTGAACTGTAAGCACGAGACTACTTACCAACGTGGCCAGGCAAAACACACGAGCGCGTTGATGCCCTGCCGTACTCGAAAAATAACGTGTCAGAGCCATGACCGCGTTCACTAGGCACAACGAGCCGCACAGCAGGCGTGACCGCGCGCTGGCATTTCAAAGTGCAACACCGTCAGCACAAGCCAAGTTCTCAAAGTAGTGCGCGCACCGCGAAGCAACCAGTCAACCAAAAGTCGGAAGAGACAACGCAGGACAACGCGCGGAAAGCGGCAGCACGGCGCTTCACCGCGTAAAGTGGCCGCCCCGTCAACCCCACTCTTCTACCCCATAAATAACTTGCCCTAAAGTCTTACCCAACACGATAAGCGAGCGGCACCTACACACCAGCGGCGAGTGTGCCTCTTGAAATGCGTGCGGAATAAAAAGGCGGCGCTCCATAGCGTGCACTTACCGAGAGGTACAAAACGTGCGGATCTCCGAACATTCTGTTCCGTTACCACACAGCTGTTCAGCGACCACGGAGCAGCACACGACGAACTACGCTAGCGCTGCTGAGCAAACGTCCGCGATGCCATCCGCACACAACGAACACGCCGCTCAGCGTCCCCGCCACAGTTGATTGAAAGGCCGTTCGATGCTCGGCGCGGCTGGCGGTGTCGAAAGTGTTGCGCGTGTGCTACCAGCACTGCGCCGTGGCACAGTAGTCGCGGCGAGGAGGTGGCGTCGACAGAGCGAAGCGAGTGCGCGTTGCCATGGGATCCGAAAGAAAAGGACTCCTCCCTCCACGTTGCTCCTACAGGCATTCCCGTGGCTTCTACCCCGGCCGGACTAGAGGAGCGGCGCTGCCGTGCTTTTACACGCGCGAAAACTCCGCGCAGGCGAAGCCGCGATGCGTGGCGCCATCGGTGAACGCAATCGCTACATAACTCCCGCCTCCGTGACGACAAACAAAACTTCCGATCTCGGATCCCAAGTTAGTCGGACGCGAACTCTCTAGATGTCGCTGCGCGGAGCTATTTTCGCGCACACGAAGGTTCTTTACTATTTTCACTATTTGCTAGGGTGCTTCGACGCACCCGTTGGCGTCCGCTCCATCGAGACACTCTACTATTTGCCCGCCATCGAAAGCTTCAAGTGCATGCGTGCGTGCGCACACGAACAAAGTTGAAAGAGGAGAGGGGTCGCCAACCACCCTAAAATGAATTTTTAGCTATACTGACGCAACACGCCCAGAGGCCGTGAAATGAGCGCAGCAAGCATCCTTCACTCTTGCCGATATTTTCATTTTTACTGTACCGCAGTGCGCTTCATGATGGCACGTACTGTGATATCAAGCACTGATCTGCACAACAGCAGACTTCGGCGGAGATCAATGCGATGGAGAACTACCAGGTGACTATAATGGGCGTATGGTGAACAAAAGTTGATATGAAAGCGCGCAACTATCATGGAGCAGCTATTGAACGGGTACAACTTGGTGAAACAAGCAACTTGACAAAAGTATGTTGGTACAGAGCAAATGTTACAGCAAGCGAACTGACGGCCGACTACAATAAAAGAGTTGACGTTCTGTAAATTATTCTTTTTTGTTTCGGACTAACGCTCCCTCTTGTTTTCCTTTCCTTTAAAAAGCGAACGTGTTCTCAATCGAAGATTTCAAGTCCGGGGGCTGATCGTAGATCGTAAAGAGGGATATGTGCCACAGAATATGGGTAAATCCCACTACGGATATGTGCCACTTTTCCCACTACCACAACGCCCACTACTGCCCCCCCCCTCACCCACTTCATTCAACAAATTCACGACAATTTTAGTCCCACTGCATTCCCACTTCATCCAACCTACTTCATTCCATTTCATTCAACCCCACTGCGCGCCACCAGCTTCGCAGATTTTTTTTTTTCTCTTTCTGCAAAGAGATGCTTGAATTAGGCTGTTTGTAGCCTTTATATACTTTTGACTTACAACGATTAGGTGCTGTCGACTCAAGTAAACTTTTTTTTCGCGCTATAGTGCTGAATCAACACAAGTCGGCACAGCGGGAGACTATCGACATATATGACTTGACCGAGGAGGTCTTTTGACCTATTCTAATCTAGTCCCTATGAGCTCTAATAAAGTTCTTTGTGTGTGTGCGTAATACATGTGTTTCCGCGCACATGTCTTTTACAATTATTATGGCTCACGAATCTTGTCTGTCGTTGCGTGGCCACGCCATTTATAACCCGACCGTTACGACGTCAAAACAATCCTTGACCGCGGCTCTTCATCGAGCTGCGACACTTCAGCCTTCTATGCAGTACATCGCAAGTATGCCACTGCCACTTAAAAAAAAAAAAAAAAAAGAAAGCTGGGCGCGCCCACACAGCAAACATCACTAGGGAAGCGGGCCAACCTTCTGGTAAGATGGTGCTCACATTCTTCGCGAAATCGTAGAAAAAAAAGCAGCCCTGTCTACAGCGAGACAGTGAGGAAGGCGCCCACATCAAGCGGTTACGAAAGCGTGAGCCCTGTACCCGCTTCAAAGCGCGTCCGCGCTTTAAAGGACTTGGGCTATAGGCGCTGTGGCTATCGCAGTGTGGAAAGCTCAGTGTGTGACACATGACAGTGACGGTCGGTGGAACGCTGCCCTCGACATGCTTGCGCCACTTCACAAGACGGCGCTAGCACTGAAGGTTTCGCCACCCGGCCGTTCACGAATTTATTCTTTGCATGCGTCTTCCTTTGAAACCTTGACCAAATTAAAGTCGCGCGTCAGGCCTTCAGAATTTGGCCGCTAACAGGTTGGATGCACTCAGAAGTTGCACTGTTTGATCGTTTAGTCACGCGGAATAAATTGCACGTCATACGACTGCCCCATCTAGAATCCTTATAA